GGCAGGCCTTGCAATGGAACCCCCAGGGAAAGACACGGGTCGGTCACCCTAAGACCACATGGAGACGATCCTGTGAAGAGGAAATGAAGAAGTGCAACCTGTCGTGGGGTGAAGTGAAAAAGGCTGCCCAGAATAGACTGCGTTGGAGAGCTGTTGTTGAGGCCCTTTGTTCCACGGGGAACTCAAGGAGATAAGAAGAAGCCAGTTCTTTACCCCCTCCTGCCATCCTGACTTTATTTTCCTGTATTTTCAGGTCTTTTCATCAGGTTACACACAGCACATGGATGTCGAGCTGTAGAGCCTAGCCTCGACTGTCCTTTCAGTGTTTGAGATATCTGATAATGATATGAGAATTCTGTTTTGTACTATAAACATGTAGCACTAATGTTTTTCATGAGGATCTCTTAAATCTGCTCTAATGAATATTTTTATAGTAACAGTGGATGAAGTGACTAAAGATTGATCAGTTCTTATAGTTTCCATCAGCTCTACAGAGCTGTTCGGCATCTTTTAGCTCATTGCTCAAGTTTTACAGCCAGGAAAATTAGTGTATTGTTTCATTCTCACTGCAGCACTTTTAATCAATCAATCAATCAGTAAAGTAGGGACTACTTGAGAGCAGTGTAAGATGACAGTTGAACATTTAGCTGCTAAAGAACCAGATATTTTTTTGAGGAGTTGGTGATTTGACTTCTTGTATTACTTGTATGCTTTGTATTTGTGAGTCTCATTTTGTAACTTGCATGCTGTTGTCATGGCAGAGCTCTTGAGAAAGAGATTTTAACCTCAGTTGGACTTCCCTGGTAAAATAAAGGCTATATAAAAGTAAAACAGGGAAAGTGTATGTTGGACTTGTATTTATCGTGTTTGACAGTATCAGTCAGTTCCAATGTATTTTTTAGGTCCTACAACTGTTTTATTCATGCAGCTCACTATGTTACAGAAGAGCTGCACAAGCTCTGTGCTTCATTTCTGGGATGTTTTTATATTGGTTTATTTAGGTATCACAGTCTGATCACAAACAAACCAGGGTTAGTATGATATAAGCATATGGACTCAAATGTTGTCAGATCTGACTGGGTTTTTCAAGAATAACTGAATGACAGATGTAAATCTGGGTCTCCATTTAATCAGGCCATGTTCTTGTAATTGGTTCAAGCAAGCACCAGTCGGCACCAAACCAAGACTCTCACCTCTCACGTGTCTCTTTAAATGTATGTTATACCTGTTTTTAAATTTCATACCTGAAGTAGTCATATTTCCTGTTTCCTCACAGCTTATGGAGTGTTGTGTGAACGCCCTGGTGACCTCGTTCAAAGAGACCATCCTAGCTGAATGTCCAGGAATGATCAAGCGCAACGAGACAGCCAGTGAGTAGTGTTGTCACATCAGTGGTGTGATTTTGTCTTTTTATGTGTAACATGATAAAGCAAACCTTGTTTGTGTTGCAGATCACAAGCTGTAGTGTCAGCTGAATGTTGTTGTATCAACAATCACTACTGTGTCAGCCAGCCAGACTTTAAAAAAAGAAATAGCTTCTCCCAGTGGTGGTTGGTTTCCTGCTGGTGGGGATGGAGGGCATGTGGTCATAGGTGATGAGTCAGTTTGAGGCCTGATGTAAACTTGCTAAACTGTGGATGTGGACAGTCCTGTGCTCTCTGGACTTCACAGTTATACACCTGTAAACTCTAATTAATCTCCAAATGCACAGTTTTTGATTCTGCAGTTATTCTTCCTGTCCTGATGTTCCTCTCCCTGGAGCAGAGCTGAATCTGATGTTTTCACTGATGGACAAGGTTCCCAGCGGGATTGAACCAATGCTGAAAGACCTGGAAGAACATATCATGAATGCTGGACTAGCAGACATGGTTGCTGCTGCTGAGACTATCACTACTGTACGTACTCAGACACACACAGTTAGGCTACTGTGCATTCACATTCCAGGCCTTAACGCTCAGCTCTGATCTTGTTGCACCTAATTATTATTATTATTATCAACGATGACGACAGGCCATATGTGTAGAGGAGGAGGCGTTAAAATGACCACATGGATTCTGATCTGACCGTTCTGATGGTGCTCGCAGAGGTCGGAGAGGAATCGGGTCTAGGAGCACATAGGCAGGTGGCCCAGATCTGGTCTGAGGACATCTGGTCTGTTCACACTGCTGTGGACACACCAGGTCTGAGTCACTTGAGGGAAAAATCAGATATGACTCACTTCAGCATGTCGTCTGAATGTAGCTTTAGGCAGCACATCTCCTCACTTTCATGTTCACCTCATCATGTGGTCATGATTAAACTCAGACTTTTAATTCATTTGTCCTGCAAACAGAGAAATGCATGGACCCATTCACAGGGTTACAGTGTAAAGAAATCTGAGTTTGGACGTGATTATTAGATGTCATCGCTGCCAGCGTTCAGTCTGAATAATGTTTTCAGTCACTACAAATCGCGGCCAGATACAGACTTTATGGTTAGAGTCCAAATTGTAGCCTGTTGGATTTGACTTAGTTTTGGTGAAAAGATGTCAAAAGACAAATTGTTGATTTGCCAAAGCTTAATATTGTAGAATGATTGGATTATAGATTTAGATTTGCCAAAGTAATCCTAGAATGCCATAAGTTGTAGTCTGGTTGCTTCAGTTGTACAGCAATTGTGTTTAGAGCAGGACATTTATATTTAGTGTGTGGCATCAGTGTTAAGCTCGGAGGTAAAAAATGACTAACAGACCCAACTTTACATTGGAGGACAGTTTTCACAACATGCAATAGTTACAGGTATATGTTTGTGTTTGTCCAGGACTCTGAGAAGTACGTGGAGCAGTTGCTGACTTTATTTAACCGCTTCAGTAAGCTGGTAAAGGAGGCCTTCCAGGACGACCCTCGCTTCCTCACAGCGAGAGACAAGGTCTGTGTTACCTGACTCCTAAACCTTTGCACAGTTAAGGCAGATGTTCTGAAGAATCACATGAAGCGTTCATTGCAGCTTTTCTGCCTTTGCTTTGGTCTCCTTCATCCCCTCCTCTCACATTTTTTCTAAAATGTGTGAATTCTTAAACAACTAAACCTGTAGCACAGGCCACGTTACAGTGTGACCCTGCATTCACAACAAGCACCTAGTTTATATACCCAGCTCTGACTGGACAGTTCTCACATTGCTACTACACTGCACCACGACAAGGTAGCTTATTTCCAGGTCACTGGATTTTCATGCATCTTTCTTATTTAGATTAATGTCACATGATGTTGATGAGGAAGCTGTTTGTGTTCCCCTTCCCCCGCAGGCTTACAAGGCTGTTGTCAATGATGCCACAATCTTCAAACTAGAGCTGCCTTTGAAACAGAAAGGGTGAGTGGAACAGCCTGCTTTATGACCCAGAGTTATTGTCCAGAGCCAAGAATGTGAGATTTTGTTTTGTGTTTGATTAAAACTAGTCACAATGATGTGGCGTATATGTAAACGTGTGTATAAACCTCCACCCAACCAGTGTGGGTATGAAGACTCAGCCAGAGTCAAAGTGTCCTGAGCTGCTGGCAAACTACTGTGACATGCTGCTAAGGAAAACTCCTCTCAGTAAGAAACTCACCTCAGAGGAAATTGAGCTCAAACTCAAGGAAGTGGTGAGTCTCTCTCCTGATGGCCTTTTTACCAAACACAACTCGACTGGGTTTTAGATGCTCTGTTTTCACACCACTTCAGCTGTTTTCATCTTCTCCCTTTCCTCTGTTTTCACACTGTCTTCTTTCTTCTCTCCTGCAGCTCTTGGTGTTGAAGTACGTCCAGAACAAAGACGTGTTCATGCGTTACCACAAAGCTCACCTGACCAGGCGTCTGATTCTGGACATCTCAGCAGACAGTGAGACTGAAGAGAACATGGTGGAGTGGCTGAGAGTGAGTTCCACTTCTGTTAAATTCACAGTGTAAGAGCTGAGCTGGGGATCAATGACACCAATACTACAGAAGAGACTTCTTACTAGGGATGGGCGTAGAGTTTTGAATATTTGAATAGTCATTACATTTTTAAAAAATTAAATGTTTCTTCCGACTATGGTTTTGTCATTAAAAATAAAGAGCCACTGTTTTCTCTTGCTTTTACTGGCGCCTGGAAATAACGTGGTAACGAGGTCATATGTCATTTTACTACAGCGCCAAATGCAAACAGCAGAAACATGCAGAGACTACAGCCATCAAGAAAGAACTGTATGATGATAATGCATGTGAGCTGCGCAGTCATTTGACAAGTGCTGAAAAGGCGTCTCTGATGTATGATGCACGGACGATGCTTACAACTGAATCGTGCGCGGCAGTCACCTGCCGTTATAGAAGCAACTGTAAAATACAGAGCACTGTTCTTCAGACTAAAGCAATGCAACCATTGAAACCAAATATTTCCTGCTGCCTAACAGTGAAGCTTTCCACTGGTGAATCAGTGGGAGGTTTTATATAAGGCGGTTTCACAAAACGGGATGTGCTGTGTTTGTTGGCAAGTTAGCAGAACTTTATTAACTGTGCTTTTCTTCATTAAAAATGTCTACGCCACTAAATATAGACAGCCTAGGTTTTCTGCGCATGCCTCTCATGTGTCTCTGTGAGTTGCTTGGCTCACTAAAAACTTTCTCCTAGAACACACTTGTATTTGTCCGCAATGTTGTAGTAAGAAAACTCTGACCTCGCACATAAGGCAAATATCACGTGTGCACCATGGCTCTACCAGGTTGTGGGTGTGTCGGCATGAATCCATGAGGAACATTAACATAAATGTCATGCATGTCTGAAAGATCGATGAAGCCCACATGTCTGCAAAGTGCTGAAGACTTGGTTCAGTTTGGTCGGTGGAAAGGTTTTCTATTTTACAAAGACTGGCAAAAGAAGAAATCACCACAGCGGGCTGGTAGATAACAAGCCAGAGGTGACGCTTACCTCGGTTTGTACTAATTAGCACACCTCCAACACAGCATCGAAGTAAATATACCTTTTACCTTGCTGGGCGGTGGAAAACCAGTCACCTTACACTGTCCAGGCTGCCTGCCGACACCTATTAAAGTTATAAAAGTAGCATTATTAGGAATTAAATGAGGAAATAAACAAGGTCTAAAAATAGGAACTTGGTGACTTGATTTCTCCTTTGTCGTTTGTGTGGTTACAGGAAGTAGGGATGCCTGCTGATTATGTGAACAAGCTGGCCAGGATGTTTCAGGACATCAAGGTCTCAGAGGACCTCAATCAGGTCTTCAAAGAGATGCACAAACACAACAAGCTGGCACTGCCAGGTACTGCACACACACACACACACACACACACACACAACAAGCTGACATTCAGTCTCATAGAAACAATGTGACACAACAGTAACACTGTTCACTGTTGCAGAGATTAAACCTCTCTAATATGTGGGTTCTGCCGCCCAGACACACGTTTCTCTTGATGAAAGAGCATATTTCAGAGCTGTACACTGAGTCCTCCTCCAACCATCTCCCTGCAGCGGACAGTGTGAACATTAAGATCCTGAATGCCGGAGCTTGGTCACGAAGCAGTGAGAAGGTTTTTGTCTCACTTCCCACGGAGCTGGAGGACCTGATTCCCGAGGTGGAGGACTTTTACAAGAGGAATCACAGCGGTCGCAAACTCCACTGGCATCACCTCATGTCCAACGGCATTGTGAGTACATCAGTAGGCAGTAGATGGCGCAGGGTTTCCAACAAACTGACACTCTACTCTTCTCACCTGCTCTCTCTCTGCTCAGATCACCTTTAAAAACGAGGTGGGTCAGTATGACCTGGAGGTGACGACGTTCCAGCTGGCTGTGTTGTTCGCCTGGAACCAGAGGCCCAGAGAGAGAATCAGCTTCGAGAACCTCAAACTGGCCACAGAGCTGCCTGATGCCGAGCTGCGCCGGACGCTCTGGGTCAGACCAAGGACATGTTTTGAATGTTTTGTCATTCACCACCAGGAAAATACTGCAAAAGACATGATGAGCTAATACATGACTGCAGGTCACACTGAACACCACAGATTACTGTACATGAAAAACTGTAACATGACTGCCTGAGCAGTGATATGTATCTGTAGGTATTTTTAGGTGGGTACAGTGTCTAGAGGAGTGTTTACTGTGTGTACCTGCTTATACAAACCACTACGCCTCTGAAGGAAACGTGTGTTAAGTGTACTTCTTTCTCTGTGTAGTCTCTGGTTGCCTTCCCCAAGCTGAAGAGACAGGTGTTGTCTTACGACCCTCCAGTTGGATCGCCCAAGGACTTCACTGACAGCACGCTCTTCTACGTCAACCAGGACTTCTCACTCATGTGTGTTGTACTGTTTATAGCCATTAGATATTGTGTTATATAATTTTCTTCACATTGTTTTATTTTTTTAAGTCATAGAAAATAACTGCTAAAAACTTGTACTGCGGCTTGTGGACCTTTTGAAGTCCCCACTGGTCCACCATCTTATCCATTTTGTGACTGTTATTTTCTCAGCAAAAACTCCAAAGTCCAGAAGCGAGGAAAGATCAATCTGATTGGTCGGCTGCAGCTGACCACAGAGCGAATGAGGGAGGAGGAGAACGAAGGAATCGTTCAGCTGAGAATACTCAGAACTCAGGTACAAAAACACAACGCTCGACCAAAAGACTTGATGGAGTTGGGCAGTCGAGGAAACGGAAGGACAGGATGAGTTAAAGACTGTGGCTTTGGGGTTCTGCTGATTTGTCTGACGCTGCAGACAGACTGTAGCCTGAAGACAGAAATCATCCTCTTCACTGTGTTCTCTGAAGACTGAGGACCCTGTCTCTGTGTTTTGTAACACGTTGTTAGTGGTCCCGACCTTGAATTTGCTGAGCTGGTAGTGAATTCCCTGGGCAAATGGAATAATGCTTAAAATGAAAAAATATTAAACCTATATTAAACCTGCTTCAACCATTAGAAGCCTTCAAGTTGCAGTAAAAACTAACATTTAATTTTGTTAAAGTGAGGATGTGGTAACGCAGTCTCCGTAATGGGTGGTTCCTGCGGTGCCTGACATCACAGCTGTTTCCCTTTAGTTCATTATACCCCTGCACAGATTTTCATTGATCCTGGGCATCGTGTCCTTCTTTCTAGCTTTTTCAGTAGAAGCGTCTTTTCAGGCAGCTTTATTCATAAAGGCCAGTTCACACATGGAGGCAGTTCAGAGTGCTTTACATAGGCAAAGAGAAACTTAATTAAAAAGGTGCAGTAATAAGTTGTACATTACCCTGAATGCAACAGGAAGCATACCAGTTTGTAGAGCTCATAGACTTGTAACATTTGCTTCATTTTTCTTGCCCAGGAGGCCATTATCCAAATTATGAAGATGAGGAAGAGGATCAGCAACGCCCAGCTGCAGACAGAGCTGGTGGAGATCCTGAAGAACATGTTCCTGCCACAGAAGAAGATGATCAAGGAGCAGATTGAGTGGCTCATCGAACACAAGTACATAAAGAGGGACGAGGCAGACATCAACACCTACATCTACATGGCCTAGGCAGTGTTCGGGGAACTGCTTTCTTGCTCTGTTTTTTACTCCTGGCCTGCGACCAGTGCTTTTACACCTGCAAGCGGAACCGAAGGATGTGTTTGGAGAAAACGAGCGGGGTGTGTTAGTAGATGAAGAAGAGCCTTTTCAACAAACGTGTGGATATTCGTAGTGCTTGTGAGGCGCCAGTGTGTTGCCAGAGTGTCGTTTTGAGGCGTAGCGTTGAGTCTTTGGGTCGTCCCTCTCTGCTGCCCTCTAGTGTCAGGTCAGAGGAGAGTGGCAGCAGTGTGCGTCGTCTACCTGCAGCCTAGCAGAGAAAATAGTGACTTAAATGAATTAGTCCCTGCCTTACATTGATCAGCAACAGACTGTGTGAGAAGAGGAGGGAATGGAAGACAAATGTAATAAACAGATATCAATCCTTTGCTTTGATGCCACAGCTGCCATCGTAGCAGCAGCCACGTTGCATCCATCTTGGTCTATGATGGTGTTGATTTTGAAGAGGGACTGCAAACAGCTACACATGAAAGCCACTGAGGAGGAATGGGCACAGATGGAGAGACTAGTTCAGACTATAAGGGGGATTTTGCCAAATTGTGTGTGTGTGTGTGTGTGTGTGTGGGTGGGTGCATAGTGTGCATCTGGTCGTATAGATTTGTGTGTATGTGCACTTTCAACAGCATGCTGCTCTCTTTTTTTGTTCAGTGGAGGATCTGTCACACTTTCTCTGAAAAGCTTGGGAAATTAGGGCGAGCCACAATTTAAATGCAGATGTTTTCATCCCATGTGGCAGGTGAGTTTTATCAGCGGGTTAGCAAGTATTGTATGGAGACGCTGGTCTGTGCCGGCCGATGATCATGCAGTCTATTTATTTGGTGTGTAAAAACCTGTGCTCTGAACATTGTGATTAAATACTAACTGAATGCATCGAAGAGGGACATGACTAAAATTGTGACCAGGTACTTGATTTTTTCTTTTGTTTTGAAAGGGTGACAGAAACACAGATGCCTACACACACTAGACTAAAGCTCCATTATCGAATTTTTACCTCATTACTCCTTGAAGGGCGTCGTTTTTTGCACAGTGTTGTCCCAGGAAAACGCTGTTAAACTAACGACGGGCCCACACAGCTGCAGAAATGCATTTTGTTATGGTTTACAGTTTACTTTTCCCCAAAGCAGAGCACTGTCTGAGCTTTGGTCGTGTATATAGTCATCATGATCTGGGGGAGTGTTGCCCCCTCTCCTCAGTACATGTCCCAAAATTCTTAAAAAACAACAAGAACCAAAAAAGTAACATTGGAATAACACCAGACAGTGAATCAGCTTAGTCATGAAGCTGAGGTGGGTTGTTGGTGTCAGCTGAGGACTGTGGATTGTTCAGCTCTTTTTTTATTTTGTTTTATTTCAGTGGAAGCCAATATGGAGAAGAGTAATCAGTTGTTTATTTTTTTTTACACGAGTCTGGACTTGTTCATTGAGTTTTATTCCAAAAAGAGATGTTAAATTTTCAACCAACATTAAAACGATTTTCTTACACTCATTTCTTCATTGAAGCTAAAGGACAGTGTGGGACACTTTTTACTTAAAAATGCTTTATACATTATCATTTAAAATGAACAGCTTGGAGTGAGACTCCTAATTTTATAATTCCTGATGAAATTCTTGCAAACCCTTCACAGGCCTGAGAATCTTGGGATGGTGTGAACCAAAACACAGCATGTGGCAAATCAGCTTCTTGAGGGTTTTTATTATCATTAGAGCAGCGCAGGCCGAGCCGTCAGATGGAAAGACAAAACGTCAAGTAGCTTTTATTCTTGAGCGATTTATCGGCCGTGACAAAGAAATGTCCAGTTATTTTCCCAGAGGCAGATTAAAGAAGTTGGAAGGTGGTGTTTGTGTGTCCTCCAGTGGCTACATATCAGAAAGTGTTACAGCAGCTGAAGTGGTGGCACCAACACTGGTCTGGTGCTGGTTTTCACACTCGGCTGCATGTTTTGTGCTGCTTAGACATTTAATAAGTTTCAGGTTTTAAACAATGCTTCCAATGACAGTTCCCACACGCTGTAACAGAGTCCGGGCGCTGCTGCAGAAACAGTGAGTTATAAAGGAAAAAGCTGCTGAGTCTAAACCACATTATCAGTCGCACCAAGGTCAGAAGAGCGCTTTACTCCCGGGGCGTCCTTCTAGTCAGAAATGCTGCATTTCCAAAGATGAGGGTACATCTCAAAGGTTCTGCTGCAGCTGAACATGGTGATGGTGTGTTCGAGTATGTTCTGACTTTCTTTTCCCTTGAGTATCATATCCAGGGAGGAAGAAGAAAGACAACAGTGAATGTGTGGGGTTGCATTTTTAATATGTATTCCTTATTTATAAATAAGGTTCTTTTCCTGTTTTATTTGTGCAACGATGTTTTCTGAATGTCCACTGATTTAGCTGCCACAGTCCTGAGATCCACTGCAGCTCTCTCCTAATCACAGGAAAGAAACTTTAACCTAATGCTGAAACAGCTTTTCACTTTCTAAAAACCAAGATGTTGGTACAGTAGTAATTTGATTTACATCTTTTCACACTTGCTTGCAAAAAAGCCAAAAGATTTGCCTTGTTATTATCAACTCTCTTCTGAAGCTTTTCTTTGAAAATGTTGAAACCAGCTCCCGTGTCCGTCACATTATGCAGTTGTATTCTCTATGCACAAACATGGCTCGGTCAGTATTTGTGGTTCCCTTTTCTTTTTAAACTAGAAAGAATCATTGAATTTGGAGGAGCCCCAGTAAATGATGACTGTCTTCATGTCAGTACTTCATTATTTCTTTGTGTGATCAGCAGCTTATACTTTGTCCGTTTATTAGAAACCCCAGGCTAAAGGTAATGCAGTCTCATCCAACAGTGCAATAAATCCTCCTCCATGAAAGTGATCAGTTTGTGTTTCAACTGTCTGATCATTTTGGAGGCTGGAGTTTGTGCTGCTGTTGAACTCTAGTATCTGTTACTTTATCTGTACCACATGTCCTGTAGAGGGCCACGGGGAGAACATGCAAACTCCACACAGGAAGGTGCTGCTCAGTCGCGAGGTTCGAACACAGGACCTTCTCGCTGTGAGGCGACAGCGGTAACCACTGCATCAATGTGCTGATGCCTATTACTTTATCCACACATTTAGAAGAGTGAGGCTGGGCTGAATAATGGACCCTGCTCTGTATGAAGCAGTACAGTTCAACAGCAACACAAACTGCCGGCTCCGCCCGTTTGCTGTTCACCTCCAATGAAAACAAATGCTAAAGAGAATTTGCACATTATCTCATCTGTGTGTGTTTATTTTAGCCAGCATGGACTTTTTGATTCTGGTTTGTGTACAGCTTGAAGTGAAAAATCAAAACTTAAACTTTGTGGCCACTTTATTAGGTACACTTGTACAGTAGAATGGACCCACTACAACAGCTGTGCCATAACGGTCTGCCTTTACAAAACTCACTGTTTTTCCTGTTGCTGTCGGAAATGTTTTGGTTCAGTTACATCTTTATTAGTGAAGTCATGGTTAAATGTGCTCTTGTACCTTATGTTGACAGGTGTTCCTAATGTTTTGTCCTTCTATTCACAGTATAATACAATTCAGCGCAAAACCAACACGAAGTCCGACCTCAGCACTAAAAGTTGTCCTTCTATTCACAGTATAATAACACGAAGTCCGACCTCAGCACTAAAACATAATTTAGAAACATTACAGACATCATAAAAGTAGATGCTATGGTAGAACAGTTGTATTGAAACTTTACAGGTGTTCCAAAAGAAGTGGACCCTGTGTATGTAAGTTACGTGTGCATTTGTTTACAGGTACTGACTAATGCATCACTATTTTTTACTTTTTTGTTTGGTCAGCTTCATAAACTTCAGTTGCTCCTCAGCAACACTGTAATCTGTCAGTATGAAATGCAGTCTGTGTGAGTCTGAGGCGACAGTGGAGCGTTCAGACCAGGGCTTTTCAAACAGAACATAGGTTTTAACATTTTCTAAGCAGTTACAGCATTGTGTCAAAAACAGGCACTGGTCTTGTGTTACTGCACTTTTTATTAGAGCCATGTTACACAGTAGTTGAATGTGTTATATTTCGTCCAATCAATAAGCAGTATTAGCTGGTCAAATCCGTTTCATTTCTGCAGAGACATCCGGTTTAACTTTGGTTGAGGATAAAGAAGCTGAAAGTGGGTTTCAGCCTGTGCAGCTGGTCGTGGGGCAAATTAACCTGCAGCCTCATGTGATGACAAAACTTGAACACAATCGCAGCCTAAAGCAGCTGAATGTTTGCCACTAGGTAAAGTCCAGACAACAACATGTGTTGTTCGAGTGGGGGGAGAGCAGTTCAGATATGTTCATGTGCTGAGCTGTTTTGCTTATTTCAAATATTTTTAAAAGTTGAATAATTTATTTCCTGGCAAAATAAATACGGTTGTATAGACAGATGTTGTGTTCTTTATTTCCTTCACTTCCAAATAAGTCACCGTTACCAAAAGCAGGCACAGACGGCCTCAGCTGAAGATGGATTCTTGAAAAACATGAACTTTGTTCAACTTGGATTCATGTCATTTACGAAGGACTGAGAAATGAATAAGTTCACAAAAACTTTTGATCTGAATAATTTTTAAACACTACATGTTTTTGTAGTGTGTCGACTGTTGATGTCGGGTTTACTGGCTGTTTCTCAAATAGACACAGCACAACAAATCCCACATTTATACTCAATAAACATTAAAACACTTAGTGCTGTGCTTCATGTAACTTACAGTCTCACTGCACTGATGATGGGGCCACGAGGTGTCACCAAGATGCGTAAATCGCCCCTTATGGATTAGTATTTGTATCCATTTGACTTTTTATTTTTGGCCCCTGGTTCAGACTTTTGGTGTCCTGTTCCTTTTTGGCTTTGATTCTGGAGCTCAGGGCTCTGTGTACTGGAGGATTAGGATCCTGTTGGACACTGAGACACCACACTCCACCTCCACCACACAAACAACACCTCTGTTGCCCTTGTTTGAGTAGAAAAATGGTCGGTGGCTTTAGATATTTGCCAAGTTGTACTTTAGACTTTAGCAAAGTAGGCACGTTGATTTTCAGGAATCTGATAAAAGTAACCTTGTCAGTGCCCTTGCCAGATTTTACGACGGCCTCAAGGCCTATTTTTAGCTGGTCAGGTAGTGATGGGACTGGACACCTGGAGGATGTGGCCTTCACAGGAACTATAACATGATATATACACTAACACGTGGACAGGGCTCGAACTATGAGCCCTGAACCTCAGCCGCCCCTGAACAGTGTGAAACTGTACTGTGGATTCAGAAATTAACAAGGACACATCTGGTTGCAACTTGTGGTCAAGATCCTTGAAAGAGTTACATGACACTGATACAAGCTTTAAGCCTAGGTAGCCATGGAGGGACTACGAAACAGGCTTACTGAGCACATGGACAGGGGCCAGAGAGACTCCTGTCATGGACCAGAACATCTTTAAGAAGTGACTGTAATATTTCTTCTTCTAAAGAGTTCATTTTAAACAATGACCACCAAGTGATGCAAACGGATCCCAGTGAGGAGCAAAACAACAAACAAAAAAACAAAACTACCACAAATAGATACAAACAACCACAAGGAGATACACTAAAGAAAACAAACTGTATCAAAATGATCACAAGAAGAAGCTAAAGGATCACAAAAGCAGGCAAAACAACTGACAAAATGACTGCTAAGAGACATGGTCTGTACTGTTTGTAATTGTTTTGTGTCTTTTTCAGTCATGGGGTTCTATAAAGGCGAGCCACGGGCCTTGTCTATACCAAGGAACACATTTTCTCACAATCAGTCCATGCATGTAGTAAAAAGTCATGTCTCATTAATAGGTTTGATGTGTGAGCTCACTGAAGGACATGAGCCAAAAGTAGAGGATTGTTCCTTTAAGGAAAAGGAACGGCTCACCTTCTCCGGTTCTGCAAAGTGCACTTCTATGTAGCCGTTTCCTCGCGTGGTTCACAGTTGGCTAAAATAATATATTTTTGTTTACGTAAGATTACAAGTGTTTGTTCTATGTCTCTCTTTAAAGAAAACACGGGTATGCGATCCCATTTCCCATTAGATGTGAACGTTTATTTTATTTTGCACCCCTATAAAAAAAAAAAAGTGGTATCATCCACTACCCTGGAACCAGCCGGTGTAGTAGAAGCAGGTGGAACTGATTTGTATGTAACCTACACTTAGTAGGGTAAATCATAAAAAGTAAGTAAAGTGGAGGTATTTTACTGACGTCATCTAGCGTCGACTACCTAAAAGCAACTGGTCTATACTGCGTGTTAACTGGGTTTAGTGTGTCTTTGACGCGCGTTGACAAGTTAGCTAACGTTAGCAGTGCTGCCCTCACACCGTGATGGTATCCTAGCTAGCAAACAAAAGACGTCCCCTAATACCAGAGTCTAGTGTAAAACTAATACTTAATGTTGTCTGTTGTTTTTCTAGTTTCTGGGACGTTTTCTCGACAATAAGATGAGAGATGTGCATGATTTGTGATATTAGTCATCCTATTTAGCCGTGTGCAGCTAGCCGTCTAACAATAATGTTATATAACATAATATTCTTCTTCTTCCTCTGATGGTAATGATGATTCTTGTTGTTATTATTCCTATTATTATTATTATTGTTGTGATGAGTGTTATATTTAGCCCATAAATATGACCGTCAACCGACACAGTTTAACGTCGGATATTCAGACATTCAACGAAGATAATCCTCAATCATTTTAAAAAGACTTACTCGATCGTTACCAGTTTTCTTGTGCCTTATAGAACAAATATTTTTTTTATAACGGTGTCATCTCAATATGTGCACAAACTTGACTTGTTGGAAAAACATTTTACAGTATGAACATCTAGGTAATACACCTTGTTTTCTTCCAATAGCTTTCTCATATTGTGTCCAGGACATTTCAACCTAGTTTTCTTTTCATGCCAACCTCATCCCACTATGTACACAATCACCAGCTGTTAGAAAGATGTCATGCAGTATGGATTGATCAGCTATTGGTTTGTTTTCTCAGTAGATGTCTAATAGCTATTGAGCAGATGCCCTAGGATTAGTTCAGCACAGGTGAGAATATACAAAACACACTATATGTTCCCTTTAGCTGATATCAAACACTGAATGACTACATTTATGTTTAGAAGGAGCACAACTTACTGTACTATCTAAGCTAAATCAGAAGTGTCAAAGTAAGAGTAACAGCTGATTTGGAGCTAATTCACAATGTTTAGATTGTGCCTAATGAGATGCTGCTGTGTCACGTGTGACACTGATGTGTGCCAATGTTGTGACT